AAAAGACGACGTGGCGTCAAGCATGTGGTATGCCATGTATGTTCCTGACAGGCCGCGAGCCGCCTGGCAGGCAGCTCCTTGTTGCCTTGTTCACTAAACAGCAAAGTGCTGTGCCGTGTGCGGGAAAATGATGGCGTTCTTTTTGGCTTTTCTCCTTCCATCAACTTCTCGTGGGAGGGTTGCATTCAGCCCAGAAAGGGCGGTTCCGCGTGGGCATGGGGTTGGCGCGCAGCCTCCAACTTCTTGCCGGTAGTGACTGGGAGACCCCCCCAGTCGCGAATGAGGCGTGCATGCATTTCCATCTCCACACCTGGATCTGGCGTACTTTGAGTTGTCCATCCGCCTGGGTCGCTCATGGGTCATCGCTCTCTGGGGGTAAATGCACCATGAAAAAAAGTTGTGGGTTGCCATGCCCAAGATTCTCATCGTGACGAAACTTCGCATAGAGCATCTAGTATCAGTAGATTCTGTGTGTAGAGAAAACTAATGTATTGTCTTTCCAAAAAAAAAAATATCCCGACTGTCCTGACCACTTTCCACAGAATTCTTCCCAAAATACCAAAACTATCCTGTTCTGTAGTGTCCAATCTTTCACCGCTTGCTTGCCGTGTGTATGTATGCCTTGGTTTCCTGTGTATATCCGATCCGATTCCTGGTTGCAAAAAAAGAACGAAGCAAACCCAAAATGTAGAAATCAAAGTAACGCCCCGAAAAACTCCTGAATCCGATAGAAAAACAAAGGTGAGAAGAAGAGTGACGCTCGCGCAAGCAGCAGCGAGCGTGGATGCCGAAAAAGCCAGAAAGAAGATATCAAAATATATCCAACAGGTTCGCACCTGAGGGGACAGAGGCCTCGTTCCTTCGGTAGCTGGTCTGCGCTGTAAAAATGCAATGGGGCGTTGTCGCTGTGTCGCCGTTTGTATGATGCAGTGGGTGGTTATATAGTCATGCGTGAAGAGGTAAAGCTGATGCGCGAGGTCCTTTCCAAGAACTGGTCCCTTTTAGTTTTGGGTCGATGCACCGTTTCACAAATCCCAACTTCCTAGGCCGGTATCTGGAAACGATGCGACGAGAGCCGGGCAGGTCGCATGATTAGCTTGGCCCACGGAGGGTTGCTGGGGAATTGGCGTTCCTTGCAAGCGGCTAAAACGACGAGTTAGATGGTTTGAGAGAGGTTTATTTCACTTGTCATAGAACATACAGCATATCTCATCGCCACTGGGAAACGGTTAGTAAAAGGAAAGCGGGCGATTAGGAGGAGGGTGAGGGTTGACGAACTGGTATTGTTTGCAGACTATAGTAGGGGGACACCGCTTCTCGGTCTCGATATACTTGGGGCACCACGACTGCACCAGGTGGTAGTGGTGTTGGCAGCTGAGTTCTCTCTGCGAGGGCTGTTAGAATACCACCAGGACCGAGCGAGCAGCCTGGTTGGGCAAGGCGCAGCGACAATACGCACATAGATGTAATTGCACATGTTGTCGGTGTTTGGTGTAGAAGGTGATGTGTAGGAAGGATGAGGGAGCGGCGAGATTCGAGGATGGCGGGCAGGTATTTCAAGGGCGGGGTCGACAGAGTTCGTGTAACACAGAGGCCGGCGCCGGTTTGCAGAGAGAGGCTGGTGTAGATGTCGATTATGTTCGTACAAGTGAAGCGTGTGACGAGAGGTGTACTGTATATGTAGGTTGGGAAGCAAGTCGATGATGGGCAGCAGAGGTGGGTGGAGTGGAGGCTTTAAGACTATATAAAAAAGAAGTTGCAAGGGGGGAGGGTGAACTTGCGGCCGCAGACAGGTTGTAAGGCTGCTGTGTCTGTTTTTTTTTTTTTTTTTTATTTTTTTTTTTTCCCCGCCCATCCGGGTCACAGAGATGATTGGTCTCGATGCCGAGTCAGACAGAATAATTGTGTGTATTTTGCTCGCACGAGCCGGGGGGCGTGGTCGAAGGATGGAGAGGCGGAGAAGCAAGCACACTAGGGGGGGGTTGTTCTCTTCCAGAGCCAAGGGGGCGGGCGGACTAATTAAAAAGGTACCTCCAGCAATTGCAGCAGGGGTTTGGTGAGAGATACACACGCCTCTCTGCCCCTGTACTAAGAGGTACCAGACGCCCCCCATCCCCTGACCTAGGTTCCTCGCTCGAACGTCGCTTCTCCGGAGACACGAGGAACCGTGAACCAGTTATGCTGTGTGGCGAGCGTTGAAGACGCATTAATTTGATCCAGGTCTAGTTAGAACATTCATCGCCCATTCGACAGGGAGCTAAGGTATCATCGGTAAGTGGTAGGTTAGTAAACTGTCGCCGACCTGGTCGCCGACCCTGAGGTGCATGCTCGCCTGTCTGCCTGACAGAATTTGTCCTGCGATTTCGCTGTGGGGGGGCCAGCCAACTTCAATGAGGTTTGGGCGCTGTGCGGTCAGTGCTCCCGCACACTGTACGTACAAGCACGCACCGTAGGTAGGTAGGTACCTTCCCTCCGCCTGTTCTGTCCACCTGCCCGTTTAACTCAGAGATTGCCCTGCAATAACCTGTAGGAACTTCTGGCAAGGTAGCATTTTGACATGTCAAGAATCACTGCCACATCTGGCATACGTCTGACATCGCCTAAGCCTCTAGAATAAGCGCAACGTCTGCGTTCTTGCCCACCAGCACCACACAATACACGGACCGAAATAGTGGTAGCCGTGCGGCCCGCGGCGTGCAAATGGGCCGCCTCATCAAGCCGCCATGATCTCCGTCCAGCGACTGCCCGCTCGCTGCCATCCGTTCTGCCAAGTCCCACGACCAGTACGACTGCCACTCCATCCTACAAGCGAGCCATCTTCCATCCACTTCCGCCAGTGCAAAGCGCAAGTCCGCAAACCCCATACCGCGCCCAACTGATACACCCTAATAAACAAATACGGCCACTATCGAGGAGCAGAGGCCATCGTGCCACTCACAAACCCCCTTGCTCATTTGCAAACGCGAGACCTCTTCGCTTCCCCCGCGGCGGTCGAAAGCAAGAGCACGCAGAAGATTGGCGTCGGATTGACAGTGCACGCGCTAGTTTGCATCCAAGAGCCCGCCTCCGCCAGTCTTGGCTGTCGCTGCCACGTCCATGATGGGCTGCAGCGATGCCCAACAGGGCATGTGCTGCTGCAAGGGCCCATGGCAAGCAACGTCAGAGATGATTCGCGCGAGGATGTTCCTCGCACGTCACTTCCATCACCGACAAGCACCGACAAGATCACCACGCCGTGATGATTGGATACCCCCGCTACACCGCATCCCGCCACGATAATTACACATACCGACCTGCCCGTCTACCTACACTGGAGCTTGACACTAACACTGAATCGTACCAGGCAAGAAAAAGTCTTTCCCTTTGCCCTAGTCGACCTGCCGATGCGCCTTCCGTTCACCTGGCTAGCGGCCGTTTCTCATGCTGCTTCTGTATTGGGCAGCACCACTACCCCAGTCCCCTAGACCCTGGCACAAGTACATGTGCCGAAGAAAAAGTCGAACCATTTTGACGAATGCCGCTCGGATAACCGCGCCCTGCACCGCCGTTGAGAAACAAAATTTCCGCAGCAAGCTCCAGTTTTGGCACGACGATGCGCACAAGGAAACGGCCGCCAGCATCTGTGCGCTGCCGGCATTATCGTGACAGGCTTCCCCCTCCTGCAGTGGTCAACCGGTCTGCCCACCTGTGCTTGTTTGCTTGAGAAACAAAAGAACCAGCTCAGCCACATCTACCACTAGCAGGAATGCCAGTGAAAGAGACGAAAGCCCAAGTTCGGCAGTGCCTTTGAAACGACCGCCAACTTGCCGCAAATCCACTCATCGATCCGGTGACCAACAGCCGTTGGAAACCGCCGAATTCTGGAAGGTTGTTTGCCCTTCTATCCGTGCGCTGAAAATATCAGGTGATAAAAAGAAGCTTGAGTAAAAACACATGCTCAATATAGGCAAGATTTGCTCCGGCCCTGGCAGAAACTCGCAAATTTACCAGTCCAGTACTTGGCCGTCGACTCTTCGCATACTGATCATCGCCGCCTCTTTCGAACGATGGACAGGCTCGGTAGTGGCTGCGCCGTTGTACACGTGGGCTCGACGCCACAAGTATACCAAAAACGTTACGGCGTTTCAACGGTTTTGAGCTCTCTTGTTGATGCGCCACCAAGCAGGCATTATCAGAAACTTACTAAAAGTATGAGTTGCTGACTGATTCGGTTATAACTTCACCTCGCCTCGACGATACGCCTATATGCTTGCACGAGGCTTTTCCAGTTCGAGTGAATCGCGGGGATATGGCGTTGATGCACAATTTATTATACGCCACTTTCTAAGAGCCGAGGCAGTACTAGCTAGGCCAGCTCTTCATTTCGAGAACCTATCAACGGAAAATTCTTTGAACATCGCCAGTTCTACGAACATTCGTACTTTCGCGTTTCTTGTCTCTCGGCTAATCGCATAGAGCAGCAAGGGTGTGTTCCAAAGGAGTCCTTTCCAAGGAAATCTTGAGTCATCGCCACTGATACGACATGGGCGGGTCTGGCCTCGTCCGAGTCGTCCATGATATTCCTATTCCTAGTCGTGAATCCTGTTCCACAGCGGGTCTTGTGGAGGAACCCAGGCGCACGGGTCGGGCCATGGACGCCTTTTTTTCCTGGCCACCTCGTTGGCAATGGACTGCCACCAATCAAGTGAGCCTGCAATTTAAAGCGAGGGCGAGTCTCTGCACCCTCAACGACGACTTCCAAGCTAAGAAGGCCAGGGCAAGATTGTGTGACTATCTAGCCCCTACCACCTCGTGGGCCGGTGACGCCATCCTCAGTGGTCAGTCGGTGTGAATGGTGTGCTTGGGAGACAGCCGTCACATCTTGCTCGCCTCAGAAGTTGCGGTTGTTACTATCTCACAACAGACAGTTCGATTACTAAGTCACGGCTTGCTTAATCGGCTTCAAACGAGAGCTATATACAGAAAAGGGTACCAAAACCTAAACACCAATCATTTCAGAATCATACGACGGCCACAGCGCCTACCAGAGCGTCCATTGCGCTGCTATGCGCATTGCCAATAGGGCTGTAAAGCGGACCAGCCCACGCCACGCCCAGTCTATTATTCCCATCACGATCTTTATCCCAGATGGAGTCGGCGTTGCACGTCAAGAACTTCTTGATGTCTGTGCTGGGTGAAACCTCGTTGAGGTAGCGCAAGTTGCGCGCATAGACGCCCTTGAACTGGGCACCGTCGGCGCCACAGTGATCGCCGTTATCCTCGCATCCTTCTACCAGAAGGCCATCGCTGTTGACCAGCTTTTTCATGGACGCAGACGCAAGACTGTTTGCACGATTCAGGTAGTCACGGTTCCCGGTGGCCTTGTACAGCTCCACCAGACCACCCAGGACAACACCTTGGTTGTAGGTCCACGTCTTCTGGCCGTTGTTCTTACACTGACCATCGAGGCCGTCGTTGATCAGGTTATCGCTGTTGATCATGCTGCTGTTGCCGAACCACCTCCATTGGCCCTGCGCGATGCCTGTATACTTGGCCTTGTCGTTCGGGATTCGGTTGGCGAGTGATGCAGCGACTGACAGGTACAGCTCGTTGGCGATGGCGTTGACGTATTTTCTCTCCTTGCTCCAGTAAATGCCGCCGTTGCAGGTGGTGTTGCCGCCACCCTGCATGTCGTTGAAGATGCGCACGGCCGAGTCGAGATACTCTTGTCGGTGGGTGTAATCATAGGCGTGTATGAGGCCGAGTGCCCACCAGCCCTCGTCGTCGTAAAAGTCGTTGAGGAAGTCACGGAATGCTCGCGACTGGATAGCGGCAGCATTCGCATCACAAGCAAGGCCCTGGCCGTTGAGGCAGTCCTCTGTCTTAATCATGCCATCGCTCATCAGAGTTTTCGTGGTGAAGACGTTGACATTCTGCGCCTGCGACCAGGTATTGTGAATCACATCGGAGATGTTCAGGCTTTCGGCGTCCAGAGGGCGAAGTCGGGCCCAGTCGGCCAATATTGTCAAGGCATTGCCACTGTTCCACCACGCATTGTCCCAGAGGCCGGTTGTCTGGTTATACCAGAATCCTTGCAGGGCATAAGCGGCTAGGGCCGTATTGTTTGCGTAATGTCCCTTGTCGCGCCAGCGCTTCTCCAAAGGCGAGGCGCGGGCTGCTGTGGCTGCGTTGACAAGAGCCGCCAGCACCGAGCTGGCGTACCAAATCTTTGCCACGAACATCTCGGAAAACCGGTTGTCTCTTTTCTCGTTGATTGAAAGACTACGACGCTGGTGGACGCGAAAACATCCTCGACAGTCTACGTACGGGTATCTGGTCCCTATATACTGGACAACTAAGGGCTATAGTGCATTGTTATGCAAGGATCTCGCCACCCGTCATCACTGATAGAGCCCATTAAATCCTTCGAAAGTCCGGCTAGTCAGTCTTTCATGTCTGGTGATGTTGCGCGCGAGAGGGAACGGGACCCGAAGATGGTTAGCAGCTTGTAACACGAGTCCCGCCGCCAAAAGCTGACGGCGATTTCATGACCTAACATAGCATTTGACGCAGTTCTTCCGGTTATACGGTTGCATGGTAGGCGGACAAATGCCCGCAACAAGTCACGGCCGAGCACCGATAAGGATGACCTGGGGACTCGCGGCTTCGTGACCCGTGCTTAGCTCTTACTACGGAGCCGACCAGGGGCCAGTGGCATTGCCATTTCTTCTGTCATCTCGAGTATTTGTATTCGAAGAGAGGAGAACTTGCTTCTTTTGCAGTGGAACAGCCTGGCTGAAACCGAATATCGCACAGCAGGCGTCTCGAGGTGGTTATGCTGATCCGGCCCTGGGCCCGCTGTTCATCTGCGACAATGATCTGCATCTAAAACCGTTGGATCTATCAAGTTGGCCAGAGCGCAGTAACGACCGGTTCGGACGAGATTCAAATTTCCGCCAACTTTTATTTCTTTAAAAAAAATGTATGCGCAAGAATCAATGTCGATTTTCATACGCTCGCTGCCTGGCTCGTATGGCTAGACTCCCCCGGCATTCCTCTTGACCCGGCACTTACTCATTCAACTAAGCCGTGTCAGCGTCGCACCGGCCGACCGCAAGCTGCACGAAGGAACGCTGATGTTGCTCTGTCTCGGTATCGAAACCACGCTGCACCGCCGCGTGAGGTGCTGTGCTTGGCCGCCACGTCGGCAGAGGTGCCACGGGACTGACTGCTCCTGTCGTCGTTCATTTGGGGGAACAACAGGCACTGTAATGACGCGGACTCCACGGGCATGTACATAGCCCATTTCCTTTTTCAGCAGCACCATACGGTTGCCTTGGGGGCCAGAGTCTACGATGCGACCGCGAAATATACAATGCGAACTCGTTTTTGTCATGGCCGTCATTAATAGGAGCCAAGCCTTTGCCATGTCGCCCGACAAGCCACGCCCTGCAGGGCAAGTTGGCAGCTGTTTCGGCAAACTTGCGACCGTCCAGCAGGATGCAAGATCAGGAGGGTCAAAGACACATAGACTCGGGACGTGTCAGGTTCGGTCAACGTGGCCGCCGCGACAAGTTCCCGAAAGCTCCCTGGGGCGTGCAGCCGAGGGAGTGCGAATACTTACGGACGCACCCCAGACTTGCGTGTACTTGGTCGATAGTCGCGTAAACGTACGCTCGAACCGTGTACCCAAGCGACAGCCAGGCGTCAAAAGGCGAAACAAAGCTCGTCTAACCATTTCTTGAGCACCTACCTGGTCTAACCGTTGCAAACTAGTGTCTCAAGTTGATGGCTTCTGCACTGCCGAGAGACGAAAGAGAGAAAACAAGAAGAGAAAAACCGAAAATAGGCCGTCGACCCAGAAGTGGAGGAGCCGTGGTGTCCATCGTGATAGTCTGGGGAAAAGAGAAAACACCCCGAGCAGATTATATCTGAACAGCGACAACAATGCATTGACCAGTTTTCGGCTTTTGATGCCGCTGCTGTGCAAAGCTGAAATTGCTTCTCACTCTCCACAAGTTCATTCCTTCTCGTGGTGTTACCACTGAGTTGCCGAAAATTCAAGGGCGCGATGCCACTCTTGGAGTCTCTTCCCGTTTTCTTTTCTTTTGTTTCTTTTCTTTTGTTTGGTTCCCTTCGTTCTTTCGATTACACGGGACGGGATGATGCTTATTACTCACCGCTCCCCAGCCACACATTGGAACGAACCATTCGCATGACCAGCTGATCTAAGAATCTATTGAAAAGCAAAAAAAAAAAAAAAAAAAAAAAAAGAAACGTACGTCTGAAGAACGCCGCCGCCATCGTATGTCCCGTCTACCGTATTTTCCAGTTGCTTGCGTCCTGATGCAAGAAAACTGCAAGCCACGCGACTCGAGGGAGCGAAAGAGGAGATTTTCTTGTTCCGCGAGAGGCCACGGCGTGACACGCATCCATCCGCCTCCATGACAACAACATTTGTAGATCTTCCTCTTCCGTACCTTTGTCTTTCCGCCCTCCCGCATTCCCGCATCTGTCGACAACCATCATTGGCTCATCGCAACCCCTGCCCTTGCTAGTGATCCTCGCCCGCTGCCGTTGTGGTCATTTGGTGGCATGAGCCGGGGGCGGGGGGCTCACTACGGCGCTCACACCAAAACTGACTCGCTCATCCTCTGATTTCGAAAGTGAGCCCAGCTGCGCTCTTCCTGACGTATTCTGGGGTCCATCAGAGAAAAAAGGAGGTTACATTCACTCCACCCGGAAAGCCACCCCGTGTTGCTAGTGAGCCCATCTTGAAACTGGCCATTCTATTGTTAACTTTGTCTCGGGGTAATAAATGAAGGGCAAAAAACTACGTTTTGCCGATCACTGGTGATGTCATGCAGAATGGCAAGTCGCGTTCTGCTGGGCTGCCTCTTCTTCAGCGCGCCAAAAAAAAATAAAGTACGACACCACCACACACCACCAAGCACGACCCCCGTACGAACGAAGACAAAAGGCTCAGAGGTTCGCAATGGCGGGTCTATCTTTTGTTTCGTACATTCGTACTTTTGTATTTCCATGCTTGGACGGGCAGTATTGCGTCCTCGCCCAAAGTAGACGAAACACGCCCTGTCCGCGAACGGTAGTTCGGTAATCAGAGGGACTGGCGTCACTTACTGATGGTCAGTAAGCTCTTGAGGAGTTTACCAAGTCTGAAATCACCAAGCAGGTAGCACTAAGGCTATCTAAACAGGATTGTATTATTTGAGTGCGAAACGCGACAAGAAAGTCGCCTGCCCTGGCAAATACCCCTCCTTTCTTCTAAATCACACGCGACTGGCGGCGGCACGAACCCAAGAAACAAAAATTAAGAGCCGCCAAACTTTCTCACAAGCACACACGCAGCATCCACGCTAGTGCTTCTTCTTCTCGTCTTCCTCCATGGCGTCAATCGCATCCATGGTGTCCATGAATTTGCGGAGCTCCTCCTGCAGCTGGCCCAGCGTCTTGCCCAGCTCGCCCTCCTGGATCTTGAGGCTGACGAAGGTGAACCTTGCTGGGATTCCGATCATTTCGGCGTGGGGGCCGGCTCCCGTCGCCGCCGCCGCTGTGCCATTGAAGTTAGCTCCTGCCGGGCCGATGTCGCTGAGGCACAGGATGGTGACGGCCTCCCGCAGCCGCCCGAGGAACTGCGTCGCGAGCTGCACCGTCAGGGACATGTGAAAGGTCGGATGCGCGTCGATCAGCGCGGCGCCAATGTTCATCTCGGGCAGCAGCCAGGCCGCAAAAGTATCGTCGCGGTGGGGGTCGGCGGCCGCCAGCACCTTGCGGACGTGCGTGAAGAGTCGCTGCATCAGGTGCAGGATCTGCGCGTACAAGGCCATGGTGAACATGCCGTCTGCGAGGTCCCCCGCGGTTATGATGGGTGTTCTTGCCCCGCTGCTGCTGCTGCTGCCGCTGCCACCGCCGCTGCGGTTTCGGATGGCCACTGCCTGCTCGAGGGCGTCGGCGACTACGTGCGTGTGCTTGTAGAGCTCCGCGACGGTGAACTCGTTGGGCTTGCCGTCCGGCCCGTCGCCGTAGTCCTTGCCCGCCTCTACCATATCCAGGTGATCCGCGAGCACCCGCAGACGAGACCAAATGACAGAGAACTGGTGCATGGTGCGCGGCTCAGACAGGTTATTACTGTTGGGTGTCACAAGATCTGTGTACCTGATCTGCACCTTATTTGACCGAGACCTTCGCTCTGTCGCGGGCAATGCCGATAATATCGAGTAGGTCAGCGTAGGGACGGCTGCTTGCCGTCTTCTGCTGCCGAGGATGGGGGCAGCTTTATGCGTTGGGTGCAGCTGTGGGTGGTAGTAGTGGGAGCTGAAGACCTGCTGCTGTTGGGCGGCAGCAGAAATTGGTACAACAAGGGGTGCGGCTGAAACTGTATCAAAGATTGGTTGTTGTTGTTCGTGGTCGTGTTGCGGTACCAGATGAGGATGCTGCCGCGGCTGCTGTGCTTCCTCTGGTGAAGACTGGTGAGGCCAAAGACTTGGAATGACTTGATGAAGGCTAAAGTAGTCGTCGACTCCGGACGGTACTTGCGATCCTAATAAATGGGCAGGCGGAATCGGTGGCTGCGATATTGCTATGCAGTTCATATTGCGCAAGTTGATTGCATACTCGGCCAGCCCTGCCGACCCGTCCGGCGCGGTTATCAGATGGCCCTGCAAGCCGGGGTTCAACGTCGCGTCAGTTGCTACTAATGGAAGTCCTTTTACCAATAAATTGTTAATGTCCCACTTTTGAGCGCCAGAAACAATTGGCAATGAGCAGACACCCAGGCGTCAGGGAACAGCTGCTGCTTTGGTGAGGGAACACATACCTGCGTCACGTTGGACAGGATGAACCTCACTTCCCGTCCGCCTCCGCTTTGGGGAGCGGCCCTCTGCGCTATCCTGCGCCTCAGTATGAGGCTGGGTCTCAAAATTGAGGGCCCTCTGGCATGTGGCAATTTGCCCCTGCTGGTAATTCGGTCGTGGCTGCCGCTGCTGCTGTTGGTCTTGGTGACAGTGGTATGAAAGTTGCGACTGCTCAGGTTGCTGGGATTGTTGCTGTGGCTTTTGTTCTTGCATCTGGTCCTGTTGCTGAAGCTGCCTCTTGTACCGGAGCGATGGGCTCGACTTGCACTCGGCGTTGAGCCTCAAGCATCGATCACAGACCCCGTCGCCGACTCGCTTGCAGCTGAGCTTCTGAGAGTGGCAGCGGTCGCAAGCTTTCCTGTTCACGTTCTCGGACATAATGTTTGGTAGAGTGTCGGCACCGGCTAAACGCAATTTGCAGTCGTGTGTAAAAAGGCAAAAGAAAGAAAGAAACCGGATAGGTGCGAGACCTGCCAGGCCCCGGGCCAGACGGGCCAGCGTTTAAGAGCATCGACACCGAACCATACCTAGCCGTCCCGGACCGGGCGGGGAGAGGAAGCGAGAGCGAATCGCACGCTGCGAAGCAACCCCGGTCTCGCGTGGAGAGAAGGATGGTTGAAAAAGCAAAGTGCGTTGACAGCCTTTGGACCAAGATGCTTCTCAGCGACACACAGCATCATCTGGTTGTCAGCTTGGTAGGCAACAATGGCATCAGTAACTGTAGTGTCACAAGGTGGCTATACCGCCCGCGTTTGGGGTAATCATTGCCTCGCTTGTTGCGATTTATACGGCCTTGGCCCCGCGAAAGCAGCTGCCAACTGCGGTCAGTCTCGTCGCACCAGGGGCGGTCCGCGGGCAAGATCCAGTAGTTTGGATCGTAGATAAGATTCTATCTTTAGAGCACGAATATGTGCGGGAAGTCTTTTCGCTAAGAAGCGAAGATGTGCATATCTGCACTCTTCCTGTCGGCAGCCGCTCGTATCTGTTTTTGGATAGTTGCTCCGTCGTACTCGGAGAGTGGTGACATTGCCGTCTTTTCTATTTGCGACCGAAAAAGGAAATAAGGTTTCTCGCATGATTTATTTATATTCGATTATTCGATTACCTCTAAGACTGTAGGTTTCACCGGGCAATTTGCTATGATGCGCTGTTGTATCATGCCTCAATCTCGCTCCCATGACCGCGCCTCGGTCCATGCCCGCCCGGAAAAGTGTCTCTGAAGTATGTCTGTCGATACATATTGATCTTTTCGATGGGCTGGCAAGCAGGATTAAAATAGTCCTCAGTGTTGCCAAGCGGCCACATAATGGTGAACATCATCTCACCCGAGGGGCATCGGGGGACCTGTTTCCATTGGCTCCAGTTGAGCGTTGCGACCAGATCCTTGATATCCTGGTGTGCCCTCTTTGCCGCTTTGCGTACGTGTGTTGCCGATGCGTCCGCTCTTTCTGAGGATTCTCCCGATACGTCCTTCTCCGTAGCTGCACGTAACGCGTTGTAGGACTGAAGGATGACGGAGCAGATGTCCTTGATAACGACTTCTAGCGCAGCTGCGATGAGCGTATCTTCTCTTGACCATTGTGATTTTTTGAAGGTTGCAGGGAGCAGGGGCTGCTCAATGCACCTCGAGATTGCCTCTTGCAGTAATCCTGGAGCCAGTGGCGCTTTCGAATCTTTCGGTTCTGGCGCTATGACGTACGTCCTCGATGCCGTTTCAAACTCGTCAATCAGGTACGCCTCACTGATGCCCTCTGAGGCCATCAAAGCAAGCCTATTAGAGAAGCGCCGAACAATGGTATCCGTAACGGCCTGCCAGTTGACAGTAAATCGCCGCGGCTGGCGTGCCATGAGTTCGACTTCTGGCTTCAGTTTTTGGCACTCGTCCATGCCTGCCGTCGCCAGACGCATCAGGTCTGGTCGGTCGGGGTCCATGGTTGTGATGTTGATCGGGTAAAAGAGTCCGGACACCATGGAGGAGTAGTCGATGCGGAGGCGGTCTGCGCCGACTCCGTCGTAGTTTTCCGCCACGGCCCTAGCCCATTGGAAGAAAACCATGCTTGAGTCGCTGACGACGCCCTTGTGATTATATAGTGCCACGCTGGAAATCCAATCGACATCTTTTGAGAAGTCGCAGTGGACGTATTCAAAGCCAATCTCCATACGGACGTAGCCATCGAACCCCCATTTCGCTAACATGGGGCATAACGCTCTTGCCCGGGTGAACTCGCCATCTTCGAAGTTTTTGTTGGGCTTGCCATATAGGACGTAAAGCTCAGCATCCATGGTGCCTAGGTCCGTTTTCGCGGCAGACATGCCGTCGAGATAGAGAACGTGAAGGTCTTTGGTCGCCTGATGGCTTTGAATGTATCCAGGGGGGAGGCGCCGAGGTGGTCCGCCATCGCCGAGTTTGCCCGCGTCGGCTTCATGTCCTCTTCGATCAAGGATCTTCTGCGCGCCATGCGCATGCTTCATGCTGAGCCTTTCGTCGGCATTTTCTATGCCGTGGTTCGTTACGGGAAAGTCCACATCCAGCGCGAAGGCCTCAGCGTGTTCAATTTCAAACGCCAGCCATTCAAACGTCTTCGGGGCTTCTTTAGAACGGGTGCCATGATACAAGACGGTGCCGGCAGGAATAATTGCAGGGAAGAAGCCGAAGCCATTGTGATTCATGGCAGAGCCCCATTGACGGCCAGCATTGTTGATGGCTCGAAAGATGGGGTGTGCTCGGGAGCGGGAACTCTCGAGGGTGGGCTGCAGCCGGTCGCTGTTGCCGGTGCTGGTGCTGGTGCTGGTACCTGCAGATTTCACATGTTCGGGTCGCCATGTGCAGCCGGCCAGCACCGCGTTCACGATGAAAGAAAACAGCATTCTAACTAGCAAAGTTCGATGCTGTTTCTGCGTTTTTCTGGTGAGCCAAAATGCGGCTGACGCGGCCACCTACTTTTGAATCGCAGGACTGACAGCCTGTTCCATGGGGCCAACGGATACCGATCTCGCCCGAGCCCCTGCGCGGCGATACCAAAAGGCTTAGCAATGTCGCAATCGGTAAATAACAGCCCAAGGCTGCCAATGCGGGTATTCTCTTCGCTTGAAGCCTTGCTGGCTAGCTTTGTAACTGTCTTTTTTTGTATTTGTGGTATATCATAAATTACACTGCAATCTCCTCTCACTGTACACGGCGCTGGAGTTGTAACTAGGCTTATTTCTCGAAACGCTTGGCAACGGTACCCCAGTTGACAACGTCCCAAATGGCGCCAAAGTATTCCGCCTTGCGGTTCTCGTACTGGAGGTAGTAGGCGTGCTCCCAGGCGTCGATGCCCAGCAGGGGCTCGAGGTTGCCGGCAATGGGGTCCTGGTTGGCGCGGGTGACGACGCTGAGGGTGCCCGACGTCTTGTCCTTGACCAGCCAGGCCCAGCCGGAGCCCTGGATGCCGGCGAGCGCGGCGTTGGTCTGCTTCTTCAGGTTGTCAAAGGAGCCAAAGTCCTCGGTAATGGCAGTCTGCGGATGAATGCGGTCAGTAGACGGCCGAAACGTGATGCGCAAGGTGGGCGGCACATACGGAAAGCTTGCCGGTCGGCTCACCACCGCCGCCCTTGCCGTTGGGGGCGAGGTTCTCCCAGAAGAGGGAGTGGTTGATGTGGCCGCCGCCGTGGAAGTTGAGGAGAGGCGCCTGGGAGGCGGCAGCCCTGGCGTCGCCCTTGGCCTGGGCCTCGGACACGGCCTCGATGGCAGCGTTGAAGCCGTTGACGTAGGTCTGGTGGTGCTTGGAGTGGTGAAGCTCCATGATCTTGCCCGAGATTGCGGGCTCGAGAGCGCCGTAGTCGTCTAGTAGCGGGTCAACGAGTGGTTGCGCGAGTGCATTTCCATGCTTTGAGTTGGATGTTGCAGAAAATGGCCATCTAAACAGGTGTATGGGGTCGCTTACATGGCAGGTCGGGCAGGGTCGCCTTGCCGCGGACGAAGCTTGTCGAGGCCATGGCCACAGCAGGCTTGGAGGCGGCGCGGAGGCCGGCGCGAACGGCGGGGGTGGTGCGGAGGAGAGTAGAGGCCATTTTGTCGAATGTGATATGAGTGTCGGCTATAGCGAGTCGGGTTGTAAGTATTGGTTCAGCGGCATTTGAAAAGGGTTGTTGTCGCAATAAGGGAAGCTCGGGGGAACAAGCTAGGCGAGCTTCTAATTGAATTCAGGCGCGGATGAAAGGATGCAAAGCACGACGAGGGTATTCAATCATGCAGGACGAGAAACGCCTGAGCCTTTATACAATTGCGACGACCAAGAGCCTTACCAATTGGACAGTGGTGATAATGGGAGGGTTGATGATGTCAAGTCGGAAAGCCGAGCTATTTTTTCCCCGGCAACCGATTTGGCTGGGGAAGCTTGTGATGAGCTCAGCGTTTCGTCATAACGCTTGCAGCGGGCTGTCACCAAAAATACAGTGGTTACGGCGGAGATTCCCCGTCGGGCAGCGACAAGTCCAGCGCTTTGCATTACTAACACAGCTTCCTCTGCTCCACTGTGCTATTTCCTGGTCTGGACTTTCAGCGGCTCTCCGCTGACAGCCTTGGCATGGGGACCTCCGCTGTCTCCCCGACGTTCCCGGAAGGCGTAATAAGCCGCCGTTGAACGCTTTCGCCGAGCGGCTGCCGACTCTTCGGCCGATATTGTGCTGGCACCGGCTTGACTGTTTATTGTCTTCCCTTTTCTTTCTCAGCAAAAGTGGTTGACCAGTCGTGAACTAATGTTTCTATGAACAAATTCCGTCAACATTTTTACTCTTGGGTAAGGTTCTGACGCCATGCATTAGTATTTCGTGGGACATGCAGATTATACATTTGTAAAATATATTCATGTGTACAGAAAACCTAGCAATAGTCTAAATATATCCAACAAAGGCTTCTGCTCTTCTTTTATCAAGAATGCCTTCGGTGTTAAGCACGCACATAAATTGCTCTTGGGTATTACACCCGTCGTGGGCAACGTGTACAACGACAACGTGTTCGGCTGGTAGGATTACAAATCATCTGTTTGGTGACACAAAGTTTGACTGAATAATTGAAACCCAAGATGCCACTTATCATAGACTTATTGAAGCGACTGGTCTCCATATTACATGTCAAGTCCCTATATCAACCAGTTAGAAAGGCCCACTCCATAATGCTACGCACAATCGGCACAAAGTTCATGCTACCCGATCTTTGCATAAAGAGGGTTAGGTTATTTACACTATCTCCCGATGGCGATAATATAAACCGGCTTCTGTGTCGAGATATTGGAGAATCGAATGAATCGCAACTATGTTTTGCTCGTTGTCAAGACCTGAGCAGTTATACCTTGCACCAGGAAGAATATGAGCAGGCAGGGTTGCTGTGGCAACCCCCACCTTGCCTGTCACCTCCACACCATGGTACGACCAAACAACCTACCAACCAACCTGCACACGACCAATTGAAGTGGAAGGGAAGATAGAGAAGAATTCCACACCCAGGCTGGCAAGATGGCGACGATGGTAATGCCGCCTATGCCGGCGACGCTCTTCCGCAAGGTGCGACCGCTCGAAGACTCAACACAGCGCAACCAGCTCTGCGCCAAGCGACCGATCCGACCAAGCCAGGTCCTCACAGTCAAGACGCCTTCCGCGAGAGCCTCGACGTTCCCAGCAGCACCTGCCACCACCGCCGCCGCCGTACCCGAGCCCCGCCACTACCCCAAGCTTCACCTGGGCATGTTCGAGATCGGCAAGCCCCTCGGCAAGGGCAAGTTCGGGCGGGTGTACCTCGTGCGGCACCGGACGTCCGGCTACGTGTGCGCCCTCAAGGTGCTCAACAAGGAGGAGATCACCGCCGAGGGCGCCGAGGCGCACGTGCGGCGCGAGATCGAGGTGCACAGCCGCCTGCGGCACCCCTCCGTCATCGGCTTCCACGGCTGGTTCCACGACTCTCGGCGCGTCTTCATCGTGCAGGAGTTCGCCGCCGGCGGCGAGCTCTTCAAGTCGCTGCGGCGCGTCGGCCGCTTCTCCCAGCGCCGCTCCGCCCGGTACGCCGCGCAGGTCGCGCAGGCGCTCGCCTACCTGCACGCGCGGCACGTCATGCACCGCGACCTGAAGCCGGAGAACGTGCTGGTCGGGCTGCGTGGGGAGCTGAAGCTGGCGGACTTTGGGTACAGCGTGCACGCGCCGGGGAACCGCCGCGAGACGCTGTGCGGCACGCTGGACTACCTGCCGCCGGAGATGCTGAGCCAGCGGAGGGTCTCGTACTCGCGCGCGGTGGACCAGTGGACACTGGGTGTGCTGACGTACGAGTTTTTGACGGGCGAGGCGCCGTTTGATGATCAACCGCACATGACGAAGAAGAGGATCGTTGCGGGGGACATGAAGCCCCTGCCGGCGTCGATAGGTCCGGAGGCGCGGGACTTTGTCCATTCGGTGAGTCCCGGCACTGTGGTTTGACGCGTCGTTAATGAGTACTGACCTTGCCTCCAAGTTGATGCAACAAGACCCCGCGAAGCGATTACCACTAGCAAAGGTGATGAATCACCCTTTCATAACAAAGTACTGCGCGAAGCAATGATGCATATAAAGGAGCATGGAGGCGTTGGTTTGGCTTTTTGTTTTTGGCGTTTATGGGAATCGCATGCAGAACAGGACGGCAAAGCTTCCGTCCTGACTTTTGGCGTTTTGACTTTGGGTTGCATTAGACATAACAAATCATGTCCCGTTTTCTCTGATAATCTCTATCCGTTCCCTGCTAATGCCTCGAATCCCGGACCTTCTCTACTCGGAGACCAGTTGTCGAAGTCGACAATAGCGGTGTGGATGGAGTCTTGGTCAACTCTATGCTTGGTTGGTCTAGCTCGCCGGCCGCTGATGACCACCGCCCACTCTCATGTGCAGCGAACGGTACGTAACGGTGTTGATTGTTCAGCATCTATCACAGCCTTTGAAGGGGCTACCTCATTACCTCCCCAGCTCGATTAAACCCATACCCAGCTCTCTGCTCACTGCTTGAATGCTTGCTTTTTGAACACTAGCATCCCACTTATACATGTCGAGCACAGGAGACCCCAATGCCGATTCGAACGCGGGTTGATCAGACCCTTCTTCTTGGATTCCCACATCCTTGGGTTGACCAGAAGCAGAGAGATTTGAGTGGAAAATGCCGGCGGCAGAGAAGGGCAAGAAGTCTTCGTATGTAATGGGCGCAGCCTCAACAAACTCGTCCGCCACGAGTTGCTCAAGCGTGTTCTCATTCGCCCCCGCGACTGCCGGCCTTCCTTCCGGCTGTCTCAAAACCGAATATCGGCAGTAGATTAAGCCCTGGGATCGCAGTGAATCCCAGGTATCCGGAAAGGCCGCAAAGACCTGCCTCGCGACCGCCTCCGCCTCCTCAGGGCCGAGACCCACCGACTTCTCAGCGCACTCGGAGAGAAGAGCGTCATACAAGTCCCTGCCCGCCGGCGTGTGCGTCGCCGCGACCAGCGTCTCCGCTTCCGCGTCCGCGGGGAAGCTCACCCGCTCCTCCAGCGCCAGGAAGCTCGTCTGGCGCAGCAGGATCGGGCACGCCCGCGGCGGCGGCCCCTCGATGCGCTCCTTAGCCCGCATGCCGCGCGCCCGCATCGCCGCCTGGGCCCGCGCAATGTCCAGCGTGCGGGACGTGAGGTGGTTGATGTGCGCCGTCCAGAAGCACGCAATGTCCGCGAGGATATCGGGTGCTCCGCCTTGAGGAGCCGGTACTCGGCGTCGGGGTCGACGTCGACGTGGCGACCGGCTGCCAGCGAAAGGCGCGGAGGGCCTCGGCGATGAACACGGCGGCCTGCGCGCGCGTGAGGTGCCCGGCCAGCGAGTCGGCTGCGTCGAGCATGCGTAGTAGCCCGTCGGAGAAGATGTTGCGGCGAGCGAGGAGCGTTTTGGACAACTCCCGCGCTCGTGCGGAGGCGAGGAGCTTTGGGCGGAGAGGGGTGGTGAACACTCGAAAGGGGTTCCGCTCCAGGCTTGCGTGACGGGTTGGTCGGAAGGCTGTGGCGTGCATGGGGAGGCCGGCGACGGACAGGTCGTAGTAGCCGACGGGGTGCATGTCCAAGAGGTTGAAGACTCGCCGGATCGTATGCAGCTCATAAGCGGTGCCCAGGCGGATCGCCCCGTGTCTCTCAGCTGTCAAACGCTCCAGGTTGCTGGTCAGGTTGCCGGACTGGATCAGAGAGTAATTGATGTCTTGGACGATCTCAAGTCGGCATACAGAGGAACCTCTGCCTTATGCATGAGAGACACGGCGCGGCAAAGTTGGCGCGTAGATCCGACTTGTCCACATATGTATCCGGGGTGAGCGAGCCCATGATAACGAAAAATGTTTCAAAGAGAACGAATGAAGTATGCCTTGTTTAGTCGATCTAGAAACTTGAAAGGTTGCGTTCTCGGAGGAAGTCATCCTTGTCGGAGTAGTTAGATGTGCTGCCCGACGGGCCTCATCACTACTCCGACGGTGGCCGTTTGCGGTGTGAAAACGTATCTAAGGTGGGAAATGGCAGAGACTGCGTGGTACTATGATTTCCATAGATAGACCCAAGTTTTGAGCGCCAATGAAACGCTAAACACTGATTATTACCCTTGCTGCTTCCTATGCCATTCAGGCAGTTGCCAGATGTATTGGCTGCACTGCATTGCGTATTGTAAGACGTATATAATTTTGAAAAGATAAATATGTTTCTCGACCTGTAAGCCGCAATTATTTACAAAAAAAAACGAATTCGTTAAACCACAAAACACCGTACCATTCGAGGGCGAAAATGGCAGGAGTCTGTCGCCGATAGCTTGTATCAGTGCTTAACAGGCAAACCGGACAACGGGTTACAGACGAACTTTCTACCATTTTTGCCCTGGAGCGCATTGAGAGTCAACTCAAACACGTTGGTGTCGATGGCCAGGCTGACGTGACCAGCAATGTCGATCGGGCAGACATCCTGGATCAGGATGTTGGTCACCCCAGGCTCATCGATGAAGGAAGTCTTCCCGGCCGGCGTGACAATGGCGTCATATTTCGTGGCTAAGACGGTAACCGTGTTTCCGGGCTGGACGATGGGGCCGTCGTTGAGCGCCTTGATCGCATCCCCATTCGCCACGTCTAGGCACGCCGGGCAACCCACCGTCGTGAGCAGCTCGTTGACCTCGGCCCTGACGTCGAGCGCGTCCGCGAGGCTGAGAAGCTTGGAAAAGTCCGTCCCGTGCGTCGGCGGCGCGATCGCCACGATCTTGTCCACCTTGGCGCTCATGTTGCGCACCTTGGGCACGTACAGCGCCTGCAGGCCGCCCTCCGAGTGCCCGACCAGGTCGACCTTGGGCGCGCCGGTCCGCGCGAGCACCTCGTCGATCAGATCGACAATCTCCTGCGACGACTCGGCGACGAGCCGCACGCCGCCGAGGGTCGGGAGCAGCGGGTGCGCGCCGTAGGTCAGGCCGTAGGTGCAGTAGCCGCGCGGCCGCAGCCAGGCCTCGAGGAAGTTGAGGTCAAAGTTGCGCTGGGCGAAGAGGCCGTGCAGCGCGATGACGGGGTTCTTGTCGGAGCGGCAGTCCCAGTCGTTGGTGAGGTTGAAGAGGGAGGCGCGGGCTGCCTCCGGGGCCACGGCGACGGGGCTCGCGTGGGCGATGCGGAGGAGCGCGGCGATGCCGGCGAGGGCAATAGTGGACTGCATTTGTAAGATGTATGAATGGATAGGGAACAGGTGCAAGCCAGAAGCGGGATGAGTACGGATCGCTAGACAGACACATAACAAACGACCATGGAGCAGCAGGACGGCGATATTTGTACATGCCAAGGGGTCCGGCTCCCCTGCTGGAAGTCGAATCGAACCAGAGAACATGCCGCTACCAATTAACCTACACCAGGTCCGGAGGTACGTATATTAGCCCGGGAGCCCGTTCGTTTTCTTACTAGTTCTATTGCTCTTGGCTTGAGGTTGGGTAGCATTACTGTCAATAATCCCCAGACTGTAGGCGCGGTACATCGCCAAGAGCTGCGGGTTCGTTGGAAAGCGGCCCACTATGCAAACCGGGAAATGATTTACGGCCTCCAAGGCGGTCCATCTGAGGATGAGTATTGTTCAGATGTGGTGTCGAAAAGGCAGGCCCTTGAAAAGTGCTCCTGCCCATGATGATGAGGCTCCCATGTACCAGCCTAGCAGGGAGGCCTGGGTTGAACGTATTGACGAGAGTGAGATTTTCAGTTGTCTCGCTACTGGGCTGCAGCCAAGCCGTGGTTTAATTACAAGAAAATAGTCATCGAAATTATGTGCCGGTTAAAAGGAAGGACTTGAGACGCACTGTAGCTCGCAAACACCCACCAATACCAGGCAAGCCCTCACAGACCGCTCCGGGGATGTGCGGGGTTTTTGTCGTGCCAAGAATCCTACAATGCAAGTCAACTATGCAGAGGGATTTGGGAAGAAGCAATTGGCTGAGAAAAAGCAAAGAAATGGATTTCCATACCCTGAACAGATAAATCGTCCCGAGGCACATCAGTCAGAGTTCGGCCTGCCAGCGCCTCCCCGCCTCCCCCGCAATCACCCCACAGATTGCACGGTTACCTTTCCCAGCTCCGATGGATAAGATTTTATTGATAGAAGGGAGATGTAGGATGCTGAGAAGCCGGTGACAGGCACTGTATAAAACTTTTAATTTGTGTATTTTTGTGATGGGGTGATATAGCACGGTATAGTAGTAATGATATGAGCACCACATGTAAGTGCTTGTCGCGGGGTACCATTTTACCGTCTTACAGTAGGCTCCAGACTCAGCGCCAAGATGGACATTGGCTCGCATTCTTCAGTGACAAACTAGGCAAAACGCCATCGGGTCGGCACTTGCGTCTAGAACAAAGAAGGCTACGAACACATGAGCGTTGTAGCTTGGATGCCGAGGCTATCAATTAGTTGGTGGCGATCCTCAGCCCACACAAACAAAAGGCAAGTGCATTGCCGTGTTGGATCGGCACAGGGAGAATCAAAGTGCACACTCCAATAGATAGTGCTCACCAGGCAGTTACGAATTCCGGGGTATTCTCATCTGGTAGTTGGCATCTCATTGTGTCAAACAATTGTGGTGCCGCGCTCCTCCAAACTGGGTCTAGACTCTCCCTACCGTGTGCTCATCGAGATGAACTCACATCGGGATTTCCTGGACCCTTCTTAGATCTACTGACCCTGCAGAGAAGTATTTTCCAGAGAATGCCATTTAGACAATGGCAATTTTGCTCTTCTTCTTTTCCTGCAGAAAAGAGAGCATACGATGTTTGTAAAGCCCATACAAGTATGCTAGTTCCTAGACCACTTAAACTCAAACCCCACCAAACCTCGGACGCGTAGAACCGTCGCGTGTTTTGTGCCCCGCCAAACCAAAGCCAAAGCCAACGTCGAACCTTGACTTCAACACTCTCCCGACGGAGAGGCCATGAGAACCACACACCATGTCCTACTACGACGTTGATGCTATCCTAACGGATGCCGAGGTGCTTGCTTACCCCCTCTCCCGCCCCCCCCCACAATCTGCAGCTCTGGAGGGTTCACCCGCTGATGCAAACTCGTTGACCCGCAGAAAGTCCCGTGCCAGTTCGAGCTCGACGTCCCGCAGCTCGGCCACCTCGACAACAGCCCCGATGGCCTGAAGCCCGGCACCCCGCTCCTCCTGCCCCTCTGGCTCGCCGAGATGCTCGCCCTCGCCTCCTCCGGCGGCGCCGCCGACGACGGCCGCGCGCCCCTCACCCTCAACCTCCCGCCCTGCCTGTCCGACGCCGTCGTCGCCGCGCTCAAGGCCGAGCCGCGCGCCGTCGCCCTGCGCGACCAGAGCCCGCACTTCTTCGGCGTCAGCGCCCGCATGCTGGACCTGTTCGACGAGCGCGCCCTGGGCACGCTGCTGCGGCGCGCGTTCGTGGCGCGGGCGGCCGACGCGGCGAGGAGTTCTTGAGAGGGCTGGATGAGTGGGAGCGAGGGCTGTTTCGAAGGAGCCACGACGGCACAAAGGGCGTCAGGGACTGGGCGGACAAGGTGAAGAAGGGGTAGAAGACGGGTGGACGGATGGGAGTTGGTTGGTTGGTTGGGTTGAGGCGCAGGGAGAGTAGCCGTGGAAATTCGTCCTGGTGATGGAAAATACCCCTGGGATAGCCAAGAATTCCCGATTTCGGAAAATACGTGTCACATTACCCCCATGCTCCCGACTTGCGCTGTTTTTACGCATCGACACTAGAATCCGGAGGGGGGTGTCAAATCGGCCAAATCGGGGGCGCAGTCGACCGAGGCAGTACACAGGATGTTCTCAGATCATAGTTGTATTCGATTTTCTTGCTCGTTATTATTGTTACCGGCTCGCCCCAACAGATTTAATCTGCTCAAAACACGCAGCCTCAAATCAACAGCACCTCCACACCACCACCAGCGCCAATCCCAGCGCCAGCCACGCCCACGTTAGCAGCATCTCGCTCATCTCCAGCCAGATGAAGTACTTGTTGGCGTACCGTACGACGTGCGCGGTGGCCGCGCCGATGAGCCCGACCGCAACGGGAAGCCCAGACAGGGCCACACCGACGAGGCCGCCTGGGTGGCGACGGGCAGGGAGTACGAGGACGCGCCACGACCACCAGAGCAGCAGGTCTGCAATTAGGGCCAGGCCGCACCAGTGCGCGAGGGAGGAGGTTACATCGCTGCTGCCGGGGAGGAACAGCAGCCGGTGCGTAAACTGTCGCTCCGCCGGGGTGCCTCGGAGTAGGATGTGCGCGCCGGCGTAGATCCAGGACGCGGCCCAGCAGGCCTCTGCGTACGCGTACTCGACGCGCATGAGGCACAGGGTGAGGTAGGCGATGCGGCAAGCATCGGCCAGGCACGTCGTCGTCCGGCTTGCCCTTGGCCCTGTGCCGCCACCACCTCCGGCATCATCCCCCTTGCTCGCTCCTCCTCCTCCTCCTCGGGCAGCAGCATCGGCCAGCACGCGATCCCGGAGAAGCGCCCTGGTCGTCGCCAGCGCCGCCGTCTGCAGCAGCCAGGACCCCGGCGCCGAGAGGCTGCCGCTGGCGCTCCGCAGCTGCTCCTCGACGAACCAGTGCGGCGCGCCGGCGACCAGCCGCATCGCCTGCAGGGGGTGGCGACTGGCCCAGCCAGGGCGCCAGCACGCGCCGGACGTGGTTGGCGAGCGCGGCGGCGACGAGCAGCGCGGCGGCGAGGGCGTGCCCGTCGGCGAGCAGCGCCGCCCTGACCGGTCGGTAGAGGCGCCGGGGGGGGTTGGCGAGGAGTGCCCTCAGCTCCCAGAGTAGAGGATCGTCGTCGTCGTCGTCGTCACCGGCTCCCGCGGGACGCTCGACGAGGAGGACTGCTGGCGTGGGGGCGGCAGTCGCAGCACTAGTCAACGCAGCGTCGTCGTCGTCTCGGGTCTGCCCATCGCGGACGGTCGCTCCCTGTCGCACAACCTCTCCACCTTTGCCTCTGGTCATTGGAACCCTGGTTCGCGCACCACTGAATGTCGGCGCATTTGACGATGTGGCTTCCTTCCGAGAGAAGAGGCAAGCCAGCGGGAAGCAGACGAAGTCCGTACTGGCAGGTGGGTGTGGGTAAGGTGCTTTGACAGGTCGGTCGTTATTGGTTGGTGGTTGGATGAAAAGGCGCGAGGGTTGGGGTCCGAAATGATACATTAAATGAGATGGAAAAAATAATAATAAATCAATATATCAATAAATCAATAAATCAATAAATCAATAAATGGGACGTGCTCCCTGTCAGTCGCAGAATAAATAAATGTTGGGACGAAACAGAAAAAAAGAAGAAAAAGAAAAAAAACACGACAAGGCTGCCTAAACCGGCTGGCTGCAGACTCTAACCTAGTTTCACAAACACGCCCTACTGCAGACAGGCTGTCAGTGAGCGGCAATCTCTTTCCTTGGTGCGTGCACACAGAGCAGTTGGAGTAGAGCCTGATCACTGAAGTTACACGGCATTACTAGCAGCAGTAGTGGCAGCGGCCAAAGCTGTTGTTGTTGGGGGCTGTAAAGCGACGAGAGGCTTGTCACTGGGTACCAAGTGTCAATAACACTGGCCAGCGCGCCAGCCAGTTTTGTATTCCGCTCTAAGCTAAGTGCAACAATAGAAATCTAACATCTAAATAGGAGACAGTCGGGGAATATTCGCCCGGGGCTATTCTGAGGGCCGACCGCTCCGGCAGGCTCAATCTGTGTGTCTGCCGTTCCTCCTTCGCTGTCTCTTTGGGCAGCTCCCGTACTGTGTGACCAAGCAAAAAACAAAATAGACAACTCTAATCAAGCAATGACCATGGGTATCAATCTCGACTCTGTCACATCCCCACAGAGCGTTGTGTAGTAGAATAGGAAAAGCGAACAACCGGGAAGTGTGTGCTTGTGTGTGTGATGTGTACGCCGTTGTGCAAGAAGACCGGCCAACCGACGCCCCGCGTGGAACCTCTTCAGCCATTCAAATCCCCCCCAAACCAGGTAGGCCACCTATACTATCTGGGGTCTTCGCTGGAAGCGGGCCAGTTTCTCCAACTCGTGTCGGACGTTGGTAGCGGCTGCTCCGGTATCCGCGACGGGAAGAGATTGAAGTCAAATGAGTAGTTCGTGTCCGTCGAGGAGGCAGGCGTGCCAAAGAACAACTCGGGATCTTCTGGAGGAGTGGCGAGCGATAGTCCAGGGTCAGACCGAAAGTCGGCCTCCGTCAAGCCGCTTTCCCGACCTCCTGGCGAGTGCCTCTTGCTATGAGGCTCTCTAAGAACCGTTTGCCGCTCAAAGCCAGTCCGGATGTAATCAACACCCTCCTTAAGCCGGCTCGTCTTGGTAGAGATGACCCGAATGTGAACCAGTTTCATATATAGATACTCGAGGTATCGGATCTCCGGCCACGTACCGCCACTGCTCCCGCCCCTGGTTCCGTTCACCGGTTCACTCTTGAAGTGACAACGGCGAATGTGCGCGGCAGCATTGTAGTTGATACCGTATAGCTTTCTGGCTCGGCAGCTCTTGCAATCTGATATCGGCACCCGAACGGGCCAGCGGGCCCGTAGACCCTTTGTTGTCGGGTCAATGACTTGCCACCGCCAGCCCTCGGGCGCATGCACCAGATTGAAGTGGCGATTATATTCATGGTCGCCGGAGAGCGTCATCCCACAGATCTCACACCATCTCCTCTCGTTGCTCTTTCTTCCCCGACTTACCTTAGGCCGCTCCTGCGCCTGAACGCGGTTGATTACCGTGTAATTTGGCTCGGGCGACCGAAGCACAATCGGCCTTGAGCCCCGTTCGATGCTTTCCTGTAGGGCCCTCCTAGCGCGTTGGGCTAGACGCTCGTTGTTTCGAGATTCTGCACGGGTTGGCGGCGTTGGCGAGCTCGGCTGGGAGTTGATCACCGGTACAGAACATGGAGGTACCGGCAGCGTCATAGTCTGCTGGTGTGGTGACTGGCTCGCCGAGGATACATAAGACGTTTGCGCCGCATTGACAATGTTCTGTTGAAACGGGGACTGGGTCGTCGAGGGCCTATAGGCTGTGTGCGCAGTGTTGAGGAAACCGTGCTGATGCGGCGACTGTGTGACCGAGGGCCCATAGACCGCGTGCGCCGTACTGTCGACGCTCTGTAGAGCCGGCGGGTACCTAAGGGTCGCGTACGTCTGGGTGGTGGTCGATGGCCAGGTTGCGGTGGCGGCGGCGGTGGTGGCGGGAATATAAGTCTAAGAAGTGGTGTTAGAAGTCGGTTTCGACGGGAAGAAGATTTCGCTAGGCTTACCGTGTGCAAACTTTGCGACTCCGCTGGGGGAGTGCTCATTGCCAAGCTCATAAGTTGCTGCTCAGCGAATGCTGTTTGGTACGGCGTGAGCGGCACGCCATTGACGAACGCGAGCGCCAGAGAGTAGTCTGGACCCTGGTGCTGCTGCTGCTGCTGCTGCTGCTGCTGGTATCGAACAGGAGCATTGTGATATGTCAGTCCAATGCTTGTCTGCTGCCCGTGTCTCGGCGAGGGACTGTTAAGGGCAGTGAGGCTGGCATAAGTAGCCTCCTGCAAAGGATACTCCGGCTGGTTTGGGGAGCTTGTGTCACTGCTTTCCGGGGAGCGGCCGAAGCTGTTGTTCCTCGAAGAGAAGCTAGAGGGGGAGTTACCATTGAAGAAGTTCATGGTGATGTTTTTTGAACGGGTGAAAGTGTAAAGAGTATGGAGTGTGAAGAGTATGGAGTGTGAAGAGTATGGAGTGTGAAGAGTATGGAGTGTGAAGAGTATGGAGTGTGAAGAGTATGGAGTGTGAAGAGTATGGAGTGTGAAGAGTATGGAGTGTGAAGAGTATGGAGTGTGAAGAGTATGGAGTGTGAAGAGTATGGAGTGTGAAGAGTATGGAGTGTGAAGAGTATGGAGTGTGAAGAGTGTGAAGAGTGTGAAGTGTTGAAGAGTATCAATGTTGTATTGTTGTTTTAGTGTTGTCCTTTTTCCCAATTTCGGGATCCCTCTCGACGAGGAAAATCTCTTCGATTATATAGCCACCGGATAGGTTATACAATCCTGCTCGTCCAGTGACGAGGTCCAGAGTCGAGAACGAACAGGACGAACGCTGTTTGACACGAACCGCCAGCCCAATGTATGACAGCTTGTATGGGGATAAAACTGTATAACCACACGAACACCATCTCTGAGAAATGGGAGCCCTTGCCCATTTATTCCCTGTGTGCCCATGGGCTCAGGCCGTGAAGGAAGAGGGAGGTGTACTTGAAGGGGGGTGTAGGCAATGTTGACTTGGAGGGGGCGTGTGCAGCGCGTTGGCAGGCACAATGTGGTGGCTTGGAAAGAGAGGAGATGCCTTTTTCCTGGAAAAGAGACAAAATCCACAAGGAAGGAAGCGGTGCCAGATCTCTGGTCGCGGCCCCCCTCCACCGGTCAGGACAAGAGCGAGATGCACGGGTGGGAAAGTCGGGGCTCTCGACACGCTACCCATGCCATTCTTTGAGTTGACCGCCAGGCTTACCTTACATGGCAGGATCGTGTTTCTGCTCGGAAGAAGCATGCAGGCCGGCGGACGATAGCTCATGTCGGGGGTACCAGCATGACGTCCATTGTCCAAGAGACAGACAGCCAAGCCCCGTCACAGAGCACAGAAGATTGGACACGTCATTTCCAAACGATGCACAGAATTGGCGGTATCAACAAATGTGCCTCGCAAGTTGTGAGCTAGGAGCCAATGCGGTGGGCATGTTTCCTCGCCGTGGCCGGACGAGGTGCGATATCGCTTCCCAGGTTCGCGCCCGTCGTCCTCCATCGTGACAACGTTTCGCCAGACCAATCGACAGCAACAATCACATGTGACTTGAGGAACAGGAATCGCCACCCCCCTTTGTGTAGGTTTGAGATGCCGACATGTGGATGAGCGGAGGGGGATGTGTGAATCGTTGGGCTGGTTCCAGTTCGGGGGAGGGGGGG